TACTCTTTATAACTTCTTGACTTTTGATTGTGTTTTTAATTCAAGTTAATTAACCCAAGCGATCAATCTCAGTAGAATACATAGAATGTCTATTCGTAGACAATCAAGCTAATTGTCTATTGTACAATCATTTCACGGATCCGATAAACGACAAGCACGACGAAGTATTAATCTCCGTCGACCTTGACTGTGACTAGCAATTCATGAGAAATTGTAGTCTGTAACCTCGTTATCTGTCGGGCTTAATCGATCAGTCTATCGGTGTCCGGATAGAGTCGCTATGTTTTACTGTCCTACCAATAGTTTCACACTGGTTCTTCACGGATAACCAGCTGAATATTTCGTTGATTTATCTGGAAGCGTAGGCAAACAGTGCGTGCACGCGACGCGTAACAGCGTGCCGCGTTATCTGTAGTGATTGTCAGCCAGGGGTCGTCGTTCGCCGGCACTAATAGATTCATTAGGGGTAGACAGCACACCCTTCGAGTGCATCAGCAACCCTAACCGTACGCGTGCACACTCTATTCCTACGGTACGAGTCCCTTCAAGCAACCACCTCGTCGCTCGCTATATTCATATTCCTTTCATCGATTCGGTTCATTCACGAACGTTCGCTCTCTCTCTCTCTCTGCGCTGTTATCAGCAATTTGGACTTCCTCTCGATCCTTTACACTTGAAAGGAGAAATCTTTACGGAAACTCCTAATTAACACTAGAATTACGCGCACTTATTTTTCAGTTGAAAATAATGTAGAAAATTAAATAGATAAAGGATGAAACATAATTTAATGTATTCATTGATAAAATTTACCTCGATAAAATTTATAATTTAAAACAGTGTTTGAAAACTGTTATGATATCGATTCCGGTTCTTAAAACAATTTCGAAGGACCGTTATGATCTATAACAGTTATTCTACAACCGAAATTCAGGAGGATATCGGTTCCGGTTACGGTTCTAGTGCCGGTTCTATATCGGTTCTTTTCGGTTCTTTTCTATTCTATACCGATTACGGTTCTAATATTGTTTCTGAAATCGGTTAGGTATCGGTTCTATTTTAGTTCTATAAAAGCTACAAGTACTGTTATAATAGTATTGATTCTAATACCAATTCTATTTCGATTTTACTGTATAATGGTTAGCTGAAAAATTAGAGATAAGGTCATTTTAAAAATTAATATACATGTAATTATAGTAATTATGATTAATTTTTATTATAATTCAAACGTACTAACAATACATCATTTATTAGGTGTCCAGCCATTCTCGAGCGTTGTGGAGATAATATAAATTTTAATGCGGAAAATATTATATTAGAACTGTAACCGGTATGGAAACGAAATAGAACAGATATAGAACCGAAATAGAACCGAAATAGAACCGATACTAGAACCGTAATCGAAACCGATATTAGGTTAGAACCTTTATTCTAATAACAGTTTGAAACAGTTATTTTCAGAACCTTTTCAATCCCTGATTTAAAACAAGAAACTTGAAATAAGTCATTTTTACTGGCTTGGTAGTTCTAATGTTAATTTCCTTCATTAGAGATCGTTTTTCAAATCGCAGAAAATCTTGGTGCAAACAAATAAAAAAATCCCCGTTTGCTTCATAGATCAACCGGCGCTGCACAACATCTAATAAGTCACCCGGTGGCCTTAGCTCACGTGTTTACGCACACGGTGTTTCTGGCCGCAGTATATCACTCTCTAAGCACTCACGCGACCACCCACCGGCTCACGTAGCCGCGTTATCTACACTTTTTCGCTGGCTACTCGTTTCGTCCGGCTAGCGCGATATATCAGCAAGCCGTGTGCCGATATCCACCCCCGACGGTGGCTCGTTTACTTCATAACTCATTCGTTCGTTCAACGACTCGTTCCCGTCACTTTTCCTCCCTTTCCCTGGTACAGCGGGTCCGCTGGTTTTACGGATAACGCTCAAATCTGATTATCGATCGGTAATCAATATCGTTGCAATTTGGCGTGGCGCCAGGACACGGTGCGCGCACCCTTTTCCCTGTGCGCGTCCTTCGAACGGTTCTACACCGATCCAACCAGGGGGGGTGATTGAAAGTGGTGCACGTGCGACGCTGCTAATCGCGCTTTGAGCGACTTCAAACGAACAATCCGCCGGCATTCGTGGCTTTCCGATAAATATTTTCGCGAGTTCGATTCCAACGTGTTCCGGGATACTCTGTTACCAGAGGAACTGTCGGCTAAACGGTCGAACAATGCGAATCAATTGTAATTTGAAGCAACCCTACTTCGTGGTAACGGGGATCGAATCAGTTAATACATTCTCGTTTCGATGTAAATTCTACTAATACTGGTTGAGTATCCTGTATCGGGAAGAATTGAAAATTGGGATATCTTTCTATTTTTCACAGGATCATAATTAAAATATTAGAAGGCGAATTTCAAAACCTCTTGATAGGAAAATAGATACATCGTTTTGGATATTCAATATTTGATAATAGACAATTACTTCGGTATTCAGAATCAAATTAATTGAAATTAATTTGAATTTTCAGCGAAGGTGAGGTTTTCGTGTTATCCTTTATTAAGAATTAAATTACTCGCAATTAATTTGAATTCACAACGGAGGTGAAATTTCCATGTTATCCTTGAAACACGAACATTTATTTAACGTTCATTTCGGGAACAGGGAAGCTTTCATCATCAACTTCCCAACTGTTATCCGTGAAACAATTACGATACTGTTTAATTTGTATCTTATTCAACGGTGGAAGCTCGTCAGTGGACTCGTTCTTAATGAAAACTCCGAGAGTTCAGGTTTAATTTCCTTCTTTTGTGCGTAACACAGCCATGGATATCGATTCCTCGTTTAGGAGGCAATCAAGTCGTACGCCAGCTTTCTTAATACGTTTATTCCACTCCAGATTTGATGCGGTATCTTTTGTAAAACGCTCGGACGAAACAGCTGCGGATGCATATTCATGTTGCCTTCTACCCTGCTTCGTTCGGCTTTCATTTTTGCTCTATCTGCGTCCGTTCACCACCGTCTAACCCCTCTTGATACACCCCGTTATATTGCTTTAATATAATTTTTCAAGCATATTGCGTTAACTGTAGACCGTGACCGGATATTGCGTTTTTTATTCATATTGTTTCATCGTCAGACGTTGCTCGTTTCATAGACGGAGAGTTGTAGATACATAATAAACGATTTTCACTTGAATAAAATTTTGTGCTTTAAAATAAAAATCCTTCAAGATAGTAGTTCGCTGATTCTGGTATTAATTTCTGAATATTCGTAGTCGCCTTAGTAATGTTCCGTCTAATATCTATAAAATTTCCGGAATAATGTCACCTTTTTTTGTGCTTGATGCACGCGACACGAACGTTAACGTCGTTAACACGTAAATATGATGGATGTTTCGGGTGTGTGCCATTTTTATGATGCATCAATTCATACATATCGAACGGTAGCTCAATATTTGCCAGCAGCTAACTGTATATCGAAAATAAAAATTTGTTTCTAAATATAGCAATCTCGATAATAGAATATCCAAATAATCAGTCGATAAATGTAAATCAATTTGAATATTATTAAACAGTTTTTATCGATCTTCCGTATGGATCGTTCGTGTTTTTGTTCGTCTAAGCCAGAGCGGTTGGAACCCGCTGGAAATGTCAAGAGAATAGATGAAAAGGAATCGGGGCGAGACCGCGTTTGCAATTTCGTGAATGGGACCGCACGTGTTATAATTTCCCGGATTCATTGTTCAGGAATTAATTTCTCATTTCGCGTTTCACTGTTTGGGCGCGGTCTTTTATATTCGAATAGGGACGACGAAGTTTCAGCTACCTCGTGATAATGAAAGTGTCTGAAAATAGAAAAATAAGTTTATCCATCGCGTTGAATGTAAATTCATGGATTTTTACCTCAAAAAATTTCATACATCAACGTTGTCGCACTTCGTTTAATAATTTGGAATCATTTTTGTTCATATCACAATAATTTATCTATGACGAGATTTATAAAATTAATTGTTAAATAATTTATATTACTGATACTTTTATCAATTTTACATAACCAAGAACAATATATCATATTTCACAATTCCCCCCCACCCAACTTTCTCATTAAAAATCCATATCGTGTTAGATCTACCTCGTGATTCAACGAGACAGTGGCACAAGAGATCAGACAGGGTTCCAGATAATAATTTTTTTGCTCCCATTCGAAAAGTTTTCTGCTATATCCGAGTAGGCGGTTCCTGTCAGAAGCAGCTTTTGGCGTGGTTTATGGTGTGCCTCTTGCACTTACCACCCTCGCAAGGAGGAGCGAGGAAGGATTTCGGTAGAGCCCTCCGGCCGAGCATAATGCTCCCATTATCTTCAGTCCTTTCGTCTCTACTGCATGCGTACCTTGGTTGACTACTGCACCGGGTGTCGCGTAATTTTGCGTCCACCTTGGCCCAACCGATCTTCCTTGATCTAACGATATCAGCGACACGATCGTTAGTTCGCGAAGGTCGGTTCCATAAGAGAAAAAGGGGTCATGATGCACGGAGGAAACGAAAAAGAGGGTCGCGAAGAGCGTGTTAGCCGGGTAGCGAGGCTAAAAACCATTACGGTAATACTTTGCGGACCGAGGAAGTGATTTTTAAGGAGAGGTGGTTCTGCCATTTCACGGCAATTTCGTTCTCCCCATAAGCATTTTTACCCGCTTGCTTCGACGCCCGAGTTAGCCGAACCCAAGCTATCTTATAACGGAACGATTATGAAAATTTCCCGTCGTTTTGGTCGTTTCCATTTTCCCAGAAGCCGGCACTCGAAGTGTACCTTCCTTATATACATTTCCAGCCAAGGTTTACGAGGTTTCGTCTCCTCCGTCTGCACGTGTTTCATGAAACTTTGAACGACGCTCTTTATCCCGAGGAAAGATTAATGGAATCTTTAAGCTCGCACGAACTCTGCGAACGGTTTGTTCCTCTTTACTGCTGTCTAAATTATGCACTCGTGTCTGTTGCAGATCCTTCGGCCTCAGGCTCGTCCTGCGAGGATGACGATGATGATCGACATCCAGACATCAGGAAACGAAAGAACAGCGTGTATGCTACTTCCTCGACTCGTGCGACCTCGTTAGACCGAGAGAAAGAGTTAAGCTTCACAGATGCTGCGCTAGTGGACTGTGTAGCCCTGGTGCATCTGACCGATCAATCGCCCACCGACTCCAATCAACCAGTCCGTCATCCATCGCCTTATTACTACGGCGACCTGTTCAAGGTACCTGAACAACTCAGCAAACCACAGCCGAATAAGTATAGGAAAAGCGTCAGTCTCGACGTACCGGGTGAACGGTCGAGAACACCCGGTATACCGAAGAGGAATTCGGTGGCAGGTGATGGGGGAAGCTATTCGTCTCAGCCGCAGCTTCAGCCGCAGCAGCAACAGCAGCAACAGCAGCAGCCGTTACAACCGCAACAACATTATCAAAGCGAGGATCTAGTGAGCCCCACGTCGGGGAGCGAGCATGCTGTCCCAGCCAGAAACGAGATCCTCTCGTCGTGCATCATCACCGAGTGGGATCACACCCTCATGCCTCCTCATAGATTGTTAAGCCACGACCTGCCGACCACGGTATGTACTTGCGTCGCATCAGCTGAAGAGGAAGAGGATGAGCTAGATCAACGACAGCCGCAGTTAACGCGGCACCAAGTGCGCAAGCTACGACGTACACGAAGGATAGATCCGCAGCCGATACTCGTCGAGGACGAGGACGACGTGGAGGGAGAGGACGAGGGCGAGGAAGAGGAGGAGGAGGACGTGGAGGTGGAGGAAGACGAGGAAGAGATGGCTAGACAACGTCACCTCTACGAGACGGCCTTCGACTGCAAGGTCAATAGGTCCGACGACGACCTCGACGACCTCGATCGAGTTACCAATCATCCCGTGTTGCATTCACAGGTATTGATAGTTTCACCTCCTTGCAATTCTTTATCTATAAGATTGCTCTATAAGTGTCGCTTTTATGTCACCCTTGAAATTCTTTTTCTTTTTTTTTTCAAGAGCTTTAACATTCAAGATATTTGGCTCTCATTCTATTTAAAAACACTCCGTCGTTAACGTTTAGACCCTGAGCTTTACCTTGAACCGTCTTTTTAATCTGATATAATAACTGCGCAAAGTTATGTTCCGTGTTTTACAGCGTTTCGTGCTTTCGCGAAAGTTAGATCGTTGGCTTTTAATCAAAAGCAATTAAAGTGCAATATGAGGCACAAAATGTAACTGAATTTCAGAGCACGAACCATGGATTCCTCGTTGCCAAGCGCAAATTAGACTTTAATTGCGGTTCGGCGTGTATTCGGTAATTAAGTGATAGTCTAATTACATATTTGCGTTATGTAAGTAACTTTTAATACAGCGGAAGGGTTAAAATGAAACACTGGTACAATTCGTTTTCATAATAAACGCATTTATATGTTGCCTTCCTTAGATGAACCAAAATAATTATCTTATATTATTCTGACGAATCGTGGTTCAAGTATTTATTCGCTCCAAATTCTGCGTGACTAAATGGTGTTAATGAACGGTATAATGTAATTTTTATGAAAATTTGAAGAAAATTGTATTAAATCCGTCGCAGATGAGAAGCAACAGCGCGATAGCAGTAAGCAGAACGAGTTCGTCGACGGACACGTCGAAGCAGCAGCAACCGCAGCAGATCCCTTACGCTGGTCAGTCCCACAGCAGCAAAGATCGACGCAAAGTCGTACTTCTCCGCCCAAAACCAATTCCGAGCCGACTTCAACAACAGCAGCAGCAGCAGCAGCAGCAGCAGCAGCAACAGCAACAACAGCAATCAGACAATATTTCTACTCTGTCCCAGGATATCGAATCCCTCCAGATCAATTCGAGCGACGAGAAAACCGGCTCGCCGCGGTTACCCGCCAGAGGTTACACCCCGTCGCCTCCATCCACGGCTCCGTTGCCTGCCAAGTTCCATGGCAATCGAGACCATTTGCTGTTGAATATTCGCAGCACGCCGAACCTACCCTCTCAGCCAGACCATCCGCGTCTGAAGGACCTGAGATTGCCGGTGAAATCTTTGCTGAGAGCGAAGGACTCGCCGCAGAGCAGCGAGGGTAGCATACTGGAGATCAAAAGTAGACCAAAGAGTTTTGCTCAAGACAACGTGGAGTCGTCGCAGGGACGACGATTCGACAAGGAACTGATACTGGAGTTCAAAGGTAGGCCAAGAGAGGAGAGACAACGACCTCGCAGTCTGATACGCGAGAGCAAACCCATCATGGAGTTCAAGGGCAGGCCCCACGAGGCCGAGAGCGATCTGTTGCGACCACGCCGTGAGGTTGGACTTTTGGAATTCAAATTGCGGACCACTAGACGCAGAGCGGGATACTCCAGCACAGAAAGTATGGCTACCAGCAGCAGCGGGGGGAGCATGGAGTCTCTTCGAAGCAGTACCAGCGAGGGTAACAGATCGACGAGCAGCTCCGAGAGTCGTCACAGCACCAGTTTGAGCTCCCATAGTTCCGACAGTGGCAGCACCAACTGCTACCACCATCACCAACAACCATCCATGACTGGTTTTTTAACCCACCATGCGAATAAATTACACATACTCTCGCCAATATCTGACAAATCGTCCCAAGAACCCGCTTCAGAGACGTCCGATAATAATCGCAACAACAATTCGCAAAAAGCCTCACCGGAAGAGAACGTCACCACGGAGAACAACGTGACCGTGTCGAATAATACAAATACAAACACCAATACGAACACGAACACTAACACGGCCAACACGAACACGAATTCCGTGACCTCGCCGATGGACACGTCGTTCAAGAAACGTCGCACACCGCAGAACAAGAATCTCATTAATTTGGCCCTGCAATCCTCGTCGTCGGGCGATGCGGAGATTCAAGGATCGGACAGTGGCATCTCGATCGAATCGCGTGCTGGGATCAAGTGCAAACCCTTTGGCTTTCACTTGTTGAAGCCGCAGTTGGATAACATCAATCTTGTCGACAATGAACCGGAGCTGTCCGATCTACCTTTTGACATGCCGAAACTACGGAGGAGACGATTGCTTATGCAACAAGACGCCACTACGTCTGGCAGTGCTACCAGCGTGGATTTGAGAGATTTGCCGTTTGACATGCCGAAACTCAGGAGAAGGCTCAGATGCATGCAGAGCACGGAATCCAGCGGATCGCAGGCGTCTTCCAGCCTTTCCGTGCGGGACGTCGAACCACCTGCGTTGTTCGGTAAGTAAGAAACTTTATTTTATTTTTTAGACATCTGATTTCTTGTGCACGCTTAACGCGTTGTTTATTGCAAGGGTTATCGGTGATCAGCGTTAAAAATTAAAAGATAAAATTAAATTAATGTAAGGTAACAAATTGAAGCTTTCGAAATAGAGATTATTAGATTGAATTTTTAACGTACCATCGGTTATTGAATATTTCTTCCAGCACGGTAGGCACACGTTGAAATAAACGTTAAAAGGGTGAGCTCGAAAGTCGTCCCTTCTTTAATCGAGCGTCTAGCCATTAAAAGGATAAAAACCGTACTTTCGGCATCTCGGGGTAAACTAAGTACTTATCAACGCTAGGGGACAACGTAATTTGATGCTGATCGTTATGAACCTTCCAGACAGCGGCTAATATCGTTAAGGTTCACTTAGCGCCTACATCCCTCTCGACGACTAAATATTTAATCTTACCAACACACGCTAACGTCGAATCGTTAATACCACTTCATATATCACTGTCCAATGAATCATTATATCCGAGCAAAAACACCAGGACAAAATTCGCGTTGATCGAAACTTCAGTTTGCAAAAGTTGTGTTTAATGTTCCACCGCATATTTGGTCCACAGTTAGGGCAGTGTTTCAAAGAACGTTCCTTTCTAGAAAGTTTAAGCCGGCAATTAACGTTGCCTCCTGTATACCTTACTCGAGTAGCAAACTTTCAACAGTTTCGAAAGTCATGCGACAACACAATCTTCTCGTGTATTCGCTTCCGCAAAGGGTTCAAAGATTCCTGTATCAAAGCATAAAACAACATCAACTGCATGCCATCCTAAGAAGTAATAACGATTAGCTGAAGTTAAATAATTAATCACAGCATAAGTAATTTTGAAATAAAATTATTTGAAATATTCTTCTACATTCGGAACGATAATGATTAATTCCTACGCAGCTACAGAGAAGCTATCAAATAATAGTTCTATCAAATCGAAGCAATCAGGACATAATCCAGCATCTTAATACCCAACTAACTAGCTGAGTGGGGGAAACGAACCGCAATCAGGGATTTATCAGACGTGTCAATCGTAGATTTATGCGTCATCGGTCACCGATTACCCCCGATACTTGAATCCATCCGCGATCTACTGACTGCAACACGAGGCGTTTAGTATTAGTCAGCCGATTAAGCTTCTAACTCGTCGTTCTACACGCAGCATGAGCTCCATCCTGCATTCTGATGGGAACTTACCCTTCGAGGCTGGAAATTGCAAAAGCGAGAGCTCACCGTCGTTGCCTTTGGGCGAAATCTGTACCGCGCTACGTGAATCAAGGGGAGGATAAATAGCGACACGGAGAGCTCGGTTCTGATAAATGAACAAGCGTAGGCGTGCAAAGGATCAGGTTATTTTTAACCGATGATCGAATGTCAATAAAGGTGGTCTGCTTGAGAAATTAATGATTGATGGGATTAATCGAGCTAAAAGTTAGAAGATGGGGATGATACGTTTAATCGAACAGGACAGGTATAATCAGCCGGGATACTTATAAATGTTCGTAATGTTCTTATTGCGTGAGTAAAATAATTTATCGTATAGTAGAACTAAAATTGAAAAACTTGGGAGATTTCCGTGCAAAGCGAGGAGGAATTCGATTTATGTGTTTCGACGAATACAACCACGAACGTGTGAATGACGAGCCGTCGGTGTATCGTGTAGCAACATTTCCGGTTTCCTGATAACCAAAATTGATCGACGCTCGCGTATATGTGGCAGGGATTGTTTTCCATATCTCTCACGCTTGTCGTGTTTCGCAGTCTGGATTTCCATTCACCGCAACCGCTGGATAATGGATAAAATCCCGGCTAGTTTCGATAAACCGACCTTTTCGGCATTATCGATTAGCAAAAGTAGGCTAAAGGTAGAATTCACAATACCTTCTCGAAGCAAGAATAAACGGAATAATTTGATTTATCTTACGGACAGGTTCAAGCCGTTCTGATTGTAAAATTATATTCATGAATTCACGATATCCTTCTATCGATACTAGTACACTATTTAATGCATATAGCATTTTTCTGAAATCACTGATTATTTTATAGTTCTTCTTTTTATATTAGTGTACAAATTTGTGATAGACCATTGTTAACATTCCATTTTTAATATAGTTTTACGTAGTAAATATTTATTGTAAAATAGTTCTTTTTCTAAAAGCACTGATTATTTTATAATTCTTCTTTTTATATTAATGTACATATTTGTGATAGACCATTGTTAAAATTCTATTTTCAATGCAGTTATAAGCAGTGAATATTTATTGCAAAATTGTTTATAGAAAGTTTTAGATATCACAAATTTATAAAGATATTACGGACAATATTTTAAGTACCTAGGTTCGAAGAATAAATTCAAAAGCTTCGATAGGTATAAATAACATTCGGACCTTTTCTTAATTCAACTACGTCGGATCCCCTATTTGTGTCCACAAGGGTCCTCGGACGTACCTTGATCCTTTTGATCATAGTCAGCTGCGAAGCAATCGAGATTCCGTCATTTTTTCCTGGTTGATGGATGTCGGCCGATTCGTAGCTGTAAATTACGTTTTGAAGAGGGAAAGGGCGGAGATAAAGCGCGTTAGCACGCGATCTAAAACAGATTCCCGAAAATCTCAGTAGTTTTTTCTCAACGTCGAGCTACCGTCGATTACTTATCGTGCCCAGGCAACTTTAAGCACGGATGATCGATCGGTGTATTTGTTTCTTGTCTCGGACGGTTTTATGAGTTTGCTGATGGATCGCGGGTAAAAACAGCAATTTCCAAGCGAATTAGCGATCAAATGACTGACGAAAGGAGATGAAAAAAATTATTATACCCCCGGGTAGGCGTTGGCCCGAATATAAAAGAAAAGGGAATAATGAGTTAAAAACAGCATTAACATTTTTGTTTTTTATTTAATTTTTAATCCTTTGCTCTATAATATCGAGTCACACTCGTGACGCAACTTACAATTCAATATGTCAATTTTAATTATAATTTTCCCAGTCAAGAATCGTCGAATGCCATGTATAAATAGTAATAAATAGTTAGCTTTCACTGACGCAATTATAAAAAAATCATAGGATAAGGGGTTAAAGGTACGCTTTGCATTATTATTATTCGAATAGTATTATTATTCGAACATATAATCCGTCCAACGAGACGAGTCAGGATATGTTTACAAATTCACGCGTTCGACGCAGGGACGAGGCTTTCAAGGGACATTACCCAATCGACACACGCCGATTTTGATACCCTTTGAGTATGATATAGAACTCAAAAAAATATTTGACACGTATTTTTTTTTATCGGCAATCGTCCATGCTGAAGGGGTGAAAATATCCCTCAAAGTTGGGATTGCAAAACATATTTTCTTGAATATCTCAGGAACTATTAGGTGTAGACGAAAAATTCAAAATGGAATTTGTGTGTTTTTGCACAGCAAATTTTTCTATGCAGCCACCTTTTTGATAAATTTATTTGTTTAAAAAATATATTGAAAAATAATCTTATTTTGTCATTTTTTTCACCCCTTCAGCATGGACGATTGCCGATAAAAAAAAATACGTGTCAAATATTTTTTTGAGTTCTATATCATACTCAACGGGCATCAAAATCGGCGTGTGTCGATTGGGTAATGTCCCTTATTAGTTGTTTCCAGTTCTTCAAACGGTTCGGTCGAGGTTTGTGTACTGTGAACCAGGCCTGCTTTGAGCACGTGAATTTTTACCCATTTACTGTCTCGTCTCGTTCGATGAAGTATAGTGCTTTACCACGTCTGACCATACACGTGTATTTCCACTGCGGCGCTCGTGATTCCGCGCATGAAAATTCATTAAACTCTTTTTCCCATACCGGTAACAATTTCTTTTTACTAAAGTCTCAAGAAAATTTTTTTAGTTATTTATACTATTTACCATTAAAGATAGCAACAGTTTACGCGTTCCATCATAGGTGCTATTAAAGTTGTTCGAACGGTATAGCGCCGCTTTAATTGGCCTCGGACGAGAGCGGCGCTCTTTTATCGATACCGTTAACCTTCACGGGTTTATTACGTCATTTTTATACGGTAATTGAAAACCATCAATGCGTTGTAACCTTCCTGTGATAATAAATAGCTGCGAGAATTTCTCAGGGATTTTTCATGAAACGTGGAGAAATAAATCTAGCGGTCCAGTTCTGTTTTGACGGGTATTCCTATACCATCGTTAGTTTTCTGTTTGGCCGTTTTAAACGGGACGACGGACGACTAACCCGGAAGAAGCACGGTTCCGCATTGTGCAGCCGAACAAAACGTCCGAGGTTGTTCTCTCACGGGCTTGTGTTCACAATGCACGAGAGGCCGGTGATGTGAACACAGAACAACGGTTTCAAGCTTGAACCGCGGTATCTTTGTTCGCGTGCACCGTGCACGTGTTGCATTCGAAGCGTGTGCATCGCTGCACGAACGGAAGTGCAAGCGGTCGCGCGACACGTGTGTTTCGTATCGCAACAACGATGCTGCGGGGGCGGGCTGTCGCGGGAAAGATACAGCGGGAACGTATTGGAAATATCGGAAATATTACGCCCTACTTGCAGCCGGCTCTTGTAAACGTCAATGGCGACCCTTTCGTTAAGCGGCCCCTGTCAAAGATGCGCTTTTTACAGCCGACGAAAATAGCCTGAATAGGATCGATGAACGTTGCGTCGCCGCATACTCGAGTATTTCTATCGGAAAGTTAGCCAAAATTCGATTTCGATCATTCTATTAAAAGTTTACTAATTATCCTTTCACGAGAGGGTTATGACGTTGATTGGCGCAGTGAAAATGATCATGTATAGTCGGACGTGCTATAATTGTGATTATTTTATTCTTTTTAACTCTTTGAAATGTCATACTGGAGATGACATTATAAATTCTTTTGTAAAAGTTATGTTTTTTATGGAAAAGAAAACATTCAATTTTACTGTTATATATTAATTCACTTAATTTGACTTAAAAT